TCTGTGGATCCATTGTTCCCTTTTTTTCAGTATGTATAAGTAGAAAACAACGTGCGAGTTCCGTTTCCTGCTAGATTTGCCGAGGTGAAAATACAAAGACAACTTGCAATATCTCACCCTGTTCCTTTCACACACTTTTGCAGGTTGTGAAAATGAGACGGTGGAAATGATTCGGGTTGCATCTGCGCTTTTCCTCTTGTTAAACCTACATCTGCCAGACCATGACAGCTTTAACACCCTCACATGCTGACAGTGATTTGGACATCCGCAGCTGGTAGGGGCTCACCTGACCTCAGACTCTGTAATTATTGCAGCTTCTGTTTTCCCTCAAGTCTGTTAGCATCCAGAAGCTTTTGAATGAACGCTGTATGGCTAGGCTTTACAAATCTAGAGAGTGGATTGTGGTTCAGAAATTACATTACAAATATGAGTGAAATTGGCACTTGGGCTAAACAATTTAAACCAAGATACTACAGGCAAAAACAATGTTCTTTCAATCACTGACCAGTCATGCACAAGTATGGTGATATCTATAGTTATTTAATACCCTATTCACCTTGCAGTGTCTTGGTTTAAAATCAACTAAGAGGTGAATAGTGCAGTTTGGAATGAGACAACCAAGTGTAAACTCGAATGAGAGATTTAACACTCTTGAATTTAAGTTGAGGACTTGTTTAGTCTGGGCAGACCAGCATGCCAGTCCAAGAATGTAATGGGTGCCACCATCTCCTTTTACATTAACCCTCAATGCACCACTTTGAAAGGCACTAAACCGAGTGGGACTGCAGCCCCTTTAAGATTTTTCTCATCATTTGTCTCAATTGCCCTTGAGAAAATTTGAATGGCACTTGAGTAATTGTTTCAGGACGTCTTAATCTTTTCTCAAAAGAGGGGAAACAATAGTCCCATTGAGGCGGTGGGACTGACCATAACCTTGTGGGTGGTCCCGGAGCAAAGCACCTCAGATATTACTATGGAGCAGGGCTGCTTTTTGAATCCTCGCACCTTCATATAGCGTGACCTTTGTGCGAGACTCCCCTCACAGAGGGATAAAAGAGATGCTGTGAATATGCTAGTGGGGTGGCGTATCACTCCAGCTCCCAGCCTATCGACCGTCTCCAGCGGTCTTGCTTGAGGAACTGTTGAAAGTCTTTGAGGGGTGACGCAACACTTTGGGTCTGACTTACCTGGCTAAAAATGGGCATGAGTTGGACGAACGAACACTCAGCCCTGGTGGGTGGTCCGTCCTTATGAGCCGTTTTCCGAGCAGCTTTTATGTCTTTGTGAAGCGAGGCTGAATATGAAGCACTTATGTATAATTCTCGTTACGGAGGAAACCCTTGCTGATGGCCCAGATTCATTTTGCCAGTTTAAACGAATGAAACAGCCAGAGTATACATCAGGAAAAATATTTATTTAATAAAATCTTGCGTTGATTGACAAAATGGCAAATGTAGTGAGGCTCAAATGTCTATAAATAAAAAGCTCAATATATCATATTTAATATATAATAATATCAACATATACAAAATATAAGATTAAAATTTTAAATAAATGTAAATATATATTGGATTACATGTATATAATTGTATGTTCATGTAATAATATTAAATTATTTTTTATTAAATAAAGATTTATAAAAACAACCTTAAATATCTGTAAATAAAAACAAAGTTTGCATATTGAGTTCGAATTATATTTCTTATTATAAAAATACTTGTTTATATGCCTCAACCAATTGGGTGTATAATATTCTATCCAGTAATAAACTATCCATTTCCTTCATCTCAATGGCAGTTGCTCGGCTGACGCAAGACTTTTAGATTTGATTTAGTACTAGATTTTTTGGAAAAATTTGATTCATCCGCTAGACCAGGCACCGCAGGATGAGTGAGCTTGCGATCATTATGGTGTACAACATTAAGAGAACAAAGCGTAGAGGTGCAGATATACTGGAAGTTAAAGGAAAGAATAAACACATTCCACTATTCCTCTGCAATTTGCCTTTCCATTACGCCTCAGCACAGACCAGTGGGCCGCTGCTGGGACTTGCAAGAGGATGTAAAGTGTTCCCCTCTCAGCCAGCACTGTAATTACACGCCATCAACTCCTCAGTTGCCATACAAACACATAATAACCTTCATCCTGCTCTCCTTCAATTACCCTCCCCTCTCTCCGCTATTACCCAGGATACCCCGGGGCCCCCTGTCTGCCTCTGTTTACAAATTCCTGCCATATTTCAGGATCTGCAGGACCTCTGTTAAAGGGGTTGAGGAAAACAGCTGGGTCTGGAATGACGCCTTGCAGAAGGGTCTTTCTCAACAACATTCATTCATCAAGAAAAGTGTTGAAATAGGAACATTCGTTCTCGGTGGAGGAAAAGGCGTGCGGTGGGAAGGATGACTTGAGAGAATGATTATGGGTGTTTCTTAAACTTTGGCCACTTTTACATCCCAGGGCTTGATATTTATTAAAACTAACAGTTTCGACTTTATTTTCTTTTTGTTATCAGGAGGACACATTAAAACTTGGAAACTTTTTGCGTTTATCTATCATACTTTCCCAGTCCCTTTCTTTATACATTTGACTGTAAATATTTGATTTACTACATTTTAAATGTTTGAAGAGAAATGAAAAGTACGAAAATAATATTTATTTGAGTGTTTTTAGGATATATTAAATGGCAGCGCTGAAATGATCCTTGGCCAGAAAAAAAATGTCTTCAGTTTTATTATACAAAATGTCTTCAAATCTTAATATTTTTTATATTACTGCTGGAATTTATATATATATATATATATATATATATATATATGAAGAGTTCAGATGCAAAAGCCTCTAAATGCCATTTGAAATTTTCTTCTGTAATGATGATTTTTATCAAGCTTGTATATTTAAGTTCAGTGATTTCACTTAAATGGCAATGATAATTACCTATTATTTGTTATTTAAGTGAAATTACTGAACTTAAATATACAAATTTGATAAAAAATCATCATTAAAGAAGAAAATTTCAAATGGCATTTAGAGGCTTTTGCATCTGAACTCTTCATATATATATATATATACTGTATATAACAGTACTGTACACAGTATTACAGTTTAACAGTACTGTACACAGTATTGCAGTTTTTTTCTGTATTTTAATCGTAATTGCAGCCTTAGTGAGTATAACAGACTTTTTTTTTTTTTAAAAGCTTCCAAAAGTCTTGGAGATTGTTAATAATCTGACCAAAACTAAGTGTTTCTGAATGGTCAAAAGTGCCTGCAGTTGAGCAAACACTCTCAGACATAATTGCAAAATTAATGGAAATTTTTTTTAAAGTGGAATTTCAGAGTTCAAGAGCTTTAAGGATGTTAATGTGAAGTGACGATTGTGGAAAACCTGATGAAAACGAACCATCACAAAGGGCTTTTGTGTTTAAGGGTGGTCCGACAAGACATGCCCTGTGAGGTGATAATGGTTTTATAGTTGTATGTATCCAGATCGATAATGTGTCCTGGACGTCTTTAACAGTTGCATGAAATCACATGAATAATGTACTAAATCGGAGTGAAAGCCGTCTTGACTTAATGGTTTGTTGATGACTTCTTAACATGTGATCTCGGTTTCTGAGCACTTCCTGTTGGTAGGGCTGTTGTTTGTTTACTGTGGTTCTCTGGAGAGACCCTCATGGCTCTGCTTCCTGTTTTGCTTCAGAGAGTGCTTTATTATTGTGCACAACTAAAACCAGCCCAGCCTTGAAACCTCTATTAGATTCCCTTGTCCTTTAATGTGTCCCTCCTCTCAGCCTTAGGCAAACCCATTTATTGTCCTACTAAGAGTTCAAACAAGTGCTATTCAAACACACAGACTGGAAGCCAATTATGAAATGACTAAGAGAAAAGCTGCATTAAGAGGAGTCTCATTCAGGATGAAGATTTGGATAAAATTAAGCAAAATGTTATGAGAATTAAATGACTTTTTTCACCTTCTTTTAAAGGGATAATTCACCCAAAAATGAAAGATTCGTGATTCACTCACCCTCAAGTCAGCCTAGGTGTATACGACTTTCTTCTTTCTTTCAGAGTTATATATATAAAAAAATATATATACAAGCTTTATAATGGCAGTGAATTCCTGTTTCTGTTGAAGTCATAAAAGTGCATCTATCCATGATAAAAGTGATCGGGGGTGTTAATAAATGCCTTCTGAAGAGAAGCCATGCGTTTGGGTAAGAAAAATATCCATATTTAAAAACTTTCTAAAGTAAAATATCTAGCTTCCGCCCAAACGAACATACGGATTCAACTTAAGTCTAAGCGCAACTTATGCGAGTAATGCGACGTACTGCTAATATTTACTCTATGACCCACTACATACTTCCGACGTCATAAGTTATGCTTTATACGCAAGTAGACTGCGTTTGGCCGGAAGTTTTTAGAATTTTACTATCAATTACTAAGCCTAAGACATGAAACGAGCGGTGAGAAAACGAACAGTATTTAAATTGTTTTTACCTTGTTACCAAAGCCAGATCAGATCACTTGGACGTGACTGTGGTTACAATAGGTAAAAACGAAATAAATACTGTTCGTTTTCTCACACAAACAGCTCGTTTCGTGTCTTAGGCCATCAATGTGTACTTACATTTACGAGTCATTAAATCATGTTTAATTTGGACTTCTCTGTGCTTGCTCTTTGAGGTGGTGACCATAGACCTCCATTATATGACTGATAGACTGATTTGACCTAAAAATATCAAAATTGAAACTACTGCGGAAACAAAGACACCTACATCTCGGATGCCCTTGAGGTAAGCTAAAACATATCAAAAATTAATTTCAAAGTGAACTATCGCTTTAAGCTTGAATAAAACTTCCATAAAGCCAGGACATTTTTTATATAACGCTGATTGTATTCGTCTGAATGAACAGGCTGACTTGAGGGTGAGTGAATGATTTTTGGGTGAACTATCCCTTTAAATGACTTTTGTCACCTTCTTATAACCTTTTAACAGGCATGACTTGCAGTTATGATGTTTATGAAAGTCCACCAACCCCCTGGAAGAAATCGGTTCACAAAGAGGAACAAAAGTAAGTCAACAGGAGAGAGGAAGTAAACATCACGAGGGCAGGAAGTTGCACTGTATCATATGAAAAGGAGGAGGTGGGGGCAGCAGTTAGTTTAAGAAAAGAGAAACCCTGGAGATTCACAACACAATCAGATTGACCTTTCATCCCAAGAGCACTATGGGCTGCTCTTAGAGATGGCGGGGGGGCAGAAGAGACCCTGATGCGAGACAGAGACCCGGCAGATAAAAGCGGAGCCGGTATTGTCTAAACCTCACAGTCTAGTGGGCCTGTTGAGCGGCAGAAACTTCCAGCCCCACCCAGGAACTGAGGAGTGTGTGAGGCAAAAAACTGTCACTAAACCACAAGTCTACACACGCTATCCCAAACATTTCCCTAAAGGTATTTGAATGTATTTGGATAGAAACATTGTAATTCATGCACGACTGCAAATGGTCTGTAACGTGCATCCGAATGAAAATAGCTGCAAAGTTCAAGAGTTTTGTATGTTCCAACCACAGGGCTATTTTGTGCTGCGCTTGCTTCTGACACACAAGATATCATCAGTTCTGTGATAATAGCAGGAAGAACTGAGCGCTTATCAGTTTGCATGCCGGTTGCTGGAGCCGGATGACCTGCATGTGTCTGTTTAAAGGTTGACTTTAACTGTCTTGATGGTTTGCACCATTTCTTGTTGACAAACATGACAGATTGTTGTATCATAAGATTTCTCAAAATAAGTGCTAACTAAAAATATTTCAATTTATTGTTATTAAACGATGTAATTAGTTTATTAATGTAATTTCATTAATCTATTTTTTTTAAATAACCAAATAAAATGATTATTTTTAATCTATATCTGCCACTAATTTTCCTCAAAATATTAACTTCTTTATATTGTTATATTCTATTTAATTTTGTTAAAGTCATATATATAAAATATAAATTCATGTTATTAAAACAAATTATATAAACTATATGATATCTGTTTATTTTAGAATTTTGTTAACATTTTATTAATATTACGTTTTATTAATTTTATTTAATTTTTTTGTTGGTTTGTCAGTGTTTCTGTATCCAGCAGCCATTTTGTTTTCAGTTGTGATAGGTCATATTTTTATTTTATTATATGTATATGTGTGTGTTTCTTTTTAAATTTTGACCAAAGGAAAAGCAAATGAAATGAAATCTTTTTAAACTGACAATTGAAAGAATCAAGTGATTTATAAGATTTAAGATTTTGGAAATTGAAGAGGGACCAAGTCTCTCCAAGACAAAAGCTCATCCAGATGGATGGTAAAGCAGCCAAAGTGGATTACAATGAGAATACAATCCAGCCTCCCCAGAAGGATCTCCACGAGCTACAGGATAATGGCCATTATCTTGGTATTGTGTGGTGTTTCATATGTTAAACGGGGTGAAACTGAACACACCTTTGGCCCATGTGACTCCTGTGCATGTGAATGATGAGAGAGAGCCTTGATGGACAGTTAATGAGCAATTCACTGCCAAATGAGACAGGAGACAGGAAGTCTGACAGCATGTTAACCAGGTCACCCTAATCTGGGCTATACGTTCACTTGAAGATTACACATTTCATAAAGATTAATTTTGACACGTTAAATGTCAGGTTTTCATTATATAGCATAAAGCAAAATGATTTAAACTCGCCTTCTTGATGCAAAGTTAAATAACATTTAGCTTCTTGTTTTTAAGCATCTGGTTGAATGTATGCGCAGGAATCCGGTGCAGCTGTTGAAGGATTTTGAGTGATTTTTTTTTTTCAAAGCACGCACGTGGTATGTCGACACACAAGATGACAATATAGGTTCAGTGTAGGCTAGGAAATGACTGAATAGGAGGTGAAGAGAAACTACCAATTCACATTAACTGGTGTTAAACTATTTTGATGGCCCTGTTTGTGTGTTTTATTTGGGCGATCATTCGCACTCCTCACCTTCACCGAATTCGGATTGAGCCATCAAGGCAATACATTCAGGAGAAATGATCAAATCAAATCAATTTTTTTATCTTTATGCGTTGGCTGTTTTATTTGACATTTTGGCACTGTCAGTTTTCTTATGCAAATATTTTGTTGCATGGTTGTTTCGTTGCATATTAGGCTATTATTTCTCGTAACCTACTTAAACTGACAAATAATGTTGTTTTATCTTATTTATTTTATTGTGTGTGTTGCGTTGATTAGTGTGCATACTGTAAAAAAATGGTTTAACTTAAAAAAAAATGTTGAGTCCAAATTAAATATGTTAATATGTTATCTGAACCACATTATCTAGGTTGAATTGAACAAATACTAATGAATATATATATATATATATATATATATATATATATATATTTTTTTTTTTACAGTGTATGAAATTATAAACGACTTGATACCGACAGCATATGAAATCGGCAGGCAGCGACGCACGAGACTCCACAAACAGCAGCTGAAACGTGGCTAAACAGAGTTCAAGTGTGTAACCTGAGCATGAGGTAGGATATATAGACCCCTCACCAAATACTCCTTCCTTCCCGTGCAGTGCCTCTTTACTGTTTGTTTGCACTCCGCTGATCCGGACCGGAAATTCCTTTCCGTTTTTGTGAATGACAAACTTATTAACAATTCATCAACACAGTCTGTTCCATCCGGCCCCGTTTCCACAGCGACGATTGCTCGGCGCCTCCTGATTGGCTGGCCGACTTAATGTATCCATTAAAACGCCTCGCGCTTGTATCCATTCACGAGCTCGCTGTGACAGAGAGCGCATCTAGGACTAGAGGACACAGTGTTGCATTCTCCGGGATAAATCACGCAGGGAAATAAAGCTACGAAGCGTTTTGCATTCGTTATTAGTCTACTAGCGATATTCGACTGGATATCTAGATTGATTCGTGCGAAAATCGACAGCCCGTGAGAAAACAGGTTATATAACAGATGATAACGTCAGTGGCTGTGGCTCGCGCACTCACTGGCTAGTGTGAGTCATTGATAAATGCACACAGTTGCATGAATGGGGTGGAAGTAGAGCGAGTCTGCGCTTGACTCTCGAAGGAAAACCCGAGGATTTAAATCATCTTGACGGTGCAGAAGAAGAGACTTTTTACCCGAGAATCTCAAAAGCTCCAGGCCCGAGACGTCCACGGCCTCTTGCAGCGCGTCTTCTCCGCAGTTTAAGGTCTCACGGTACCGTAGCCTACCTTATTTCACTAATGCTCGATAAGTTCAAACCCGTGCAGTTCGATTCGGTCATGGCTATAAGCAAGACGGTAGAGTGGCTAAAAGAGCAGCTGGAGACGCGCAGGGACTGTTTGCTCGTAATGGACTGTCGAGCGCAAGAGCTCTACGAATCGTCGCACGTCGAAACGGCCATTAACGTGGCCATCCCGAGCCTCATGCTCCGGAGACTCAAGAAGGGCAACCTGCCTATCAAGTCCCTGCTCTCTAACGGAGAAGACAGGGAGATGTTTGCGCGGAGGTGCAAGACGGACACTATCGTGTTGTACGACGAGTACAGCCGAGAGTGGAATGAAAACATCGACGGCGGGTCCGTGCTGGGTTTACTGCTGAGGAGAATGAAGGACGAGGGCTACAAAGCTTTCTATCTGGAAGGTACGTTAATTTCCACTGTATTTTATGATTTTACTTGGTATTTTTTGGCAACAAAATAGTATCTGCTTTATGTTACTAGTATATTTATAGATTGCTTACACGTTTTTCACCATTTATTAGATATTTATAGTAGTACTAGTATCTATTCATCTAGTCACAAGTATTCATTTGTCACGTCCGTTGTTAACTATTCCATTGTATTTGATACAAATTTCAAATTTTACCATTTGTTAATTTATATACATAAAAAAACAGTTTTTCATACTAACAAATAATAGGCTATACTGAAAAATGGCCTGCTGGTGATTTTTTATTGTTATTCAAAACTAGTATCTCTTTATGATATACTACCAAATATCCCAGTTGTTACTTGTCACATTTCATAATCCACTGTAGTTGCAGTGGCTAGGTACTCAACTGTCTTTTCAACTATAAATGTTAAAAAGTACAAGCATCTAATGAATGTTGAAACAGAAAATGATACTAGTCACCACTTGTAATTAAAAATGTGTACTTATCTGGAATACATGTTAAATGGTTTTCTAATTTGAACTTTACAGGTGGCTTCAGCAAATTCCAAGCTGATTTTCCCACATTGTGCGAGACGAACCTCGACGGTTCCTCCAGTAGCAGTTCACCGACCTCCCAGGTCCTGGGTCTTGGAGGTCTTCGGATCAGCTCTGACTCCTCAGACATCGAGTCAGACATCGACCGAGACCCAAGCAGCGCTACTGACTCAGATGGCAGCCCTCTGTCAAACCCCCAGCCCTCATTCCCAGTGGAGATCCTGCCGCATCTGTATCTGGGCTGTGCGAAGGACTCCACGAACCTGGATATCCTTGAGGAGTTTGGCATCAAGTACATCTTGAACGTGACCCCTAATCTCCCCAACATGTTCGAGAACGCCGGGGAGTTTAAGTACAAGCAGATTCCCATCTCCGATCACTGGAGCCAGAATCTCTCACAGTTCTTCCCAGAAGCAATCAGCTTTATTGGTAAGAATCAGTTTTAAACACAATTATTCTCTCTTGAATTAGCTTTTTATTCAGTCCCTGTTTTGATTAAAACTATTCAGTGTTTTGAAACCAAACGGACAGCACCGTCTTTATTGTTTGCGTAGTAACATATCCTGCGGCTTGTGGCACAAAGGCTTATGATGAAACAGGAGATGGAGGGGGGAGGCAGTAATATGAGCTCAACAGGAAGGAAGCAAGCAGCATTGAAAGTAATCTAGGACAGAGCAATGTTTCGCCACACAATGAGGACCATTTACAGGGCCGTGTTGACATCCTGTTAGCCTTGACAGGGTGCTGCCATGACTTCTACATTTACACGCCCAAATGGCACCATTGTCAAGTAACCTGGCGAGCGGAAGGATCATTTGATTAACCTTAATAGCCCATTTCCATGTTGCATTCTCTGAGCAAAATGAGCGAGTTGTTTTCAGTCATGCACTAGATATCCCGCTGAATGAGGCCCCTTTTGTCAGCGCGGGGGCCGTAATGAATTCCGACAGCCGAGCTCATGTACAATTGCATATTCATAAGTCAGTCGCACACAGATAACTAATCATCTCGTCTTTTTTTCCCCCCCTCAGATGAGGCCCGCGGACAGAAGTGCGGAGTGCTCGTTCATTGCCTCGCCGGCATCAGCCGTTCCGTAACTGTGACGGTGGCGTACCTCATGCAGAAGCTCAACCTGTCCATGAACGACGCGTACGACATTGTCAAGATGAAGAAGTCTAACATCTCACCCAACTTCAACTTCATGGGCCAGCTCTTGGACTTTGAGCGCACGCTGGGCCTCAAGAGCCCATGCGACAACCGTGTGGCGGCCCCGACCCAACCATTGTACTTCACCACGCCAACCAATCACAACGTTTTCCAGTTGGACCCTCTTGAGTCCACGTGAGGACCCTCTTTTTTTTTTCTCAAATCGAGCGAAACACAAGTTTCATTTTTTCGACACTTGTCGAGGGATTCCTGACGTTATTGATGTTGGCTTGAGACGACGGCCGACCAGAGTAGCCACTGATGGGGCATGCGGTGTGCCCAGAGCTTCTACGCTGCTGTTAAATGGAGAGAGATCATGTGACTCTGTACCTCCAAGACTCTATAAAGTAGTTTGTTTCATATATATACGTATACATACATATTCAAGCATGGAAAGACCGTCCGATGTTTTTGGGGCTGGTGTGCCAAAGAGACTTGACTGGAACTGAACAATGACAAATTTTGTTTAGCGCTTGCACCTTGACATTTTCTTGGTGTGCTCTTCTTGTCTTCAATGAAGACTTGCCTGTTTTCGGGATGAGACTTCCCTTCGGTAATGATGGCAGAGTGTACTGTACTCCAACTTATTTGTGTGGAGAAATTTTTAAAAAACATTTATACATGTGTATATTAAGATGTCGGTAAGCCTTGCCGTAGTTAGAATACACCTGTTTTAAAGGAACGGCTGTAGATTTTTCTTCTTCTTTTCGTCCTCATATGTTAAAAAAACGGAATATCGATCAATATTATCTTTATCCGAGAGTTAAATGCCAAAAATTTTAACAGGTTTTTGCAAGATCATCAATGTGTATATGTATAATATATTTATAGTTTTGCTTTACGGATCGATTCCGCCTTTCTCAGCCTTTTAACCACCATCACGGATCAAAGTCGTCATTCTCTTGCCTTAGTTCTGTACATACGTAAGTGTTATTGTGCAGTAAACTTTTAGAGCAGTTCCCCATATGCTTCTTTTCACATTTTTTTAGCAAACCTGGCCATACCAACTTGCACGTTCAGAGGGGTGGTCCAAACTTGTACGTGTACGAGGCATTCCTCGAATGCTATGCGGCGGGGTTTCAGATGCATGCTCATTTAGGACCCTTTATACTACTCGCTTTTTGTAATCTTTCTGGGGACAATGGAAGGGTCGAAGCAAGTAATGCAGATTTTTTTTTTTTGTGCGCAAGGGTTTAAGGTCTGTGTTGACAAAGCTGGGAGAGTGTTTTTTGTCTCCTGTTCAGGGAAGTTCTGTGACATGCAGTTTTTTTGTGAGAAAAGTGATGGTTTTTAAGAGTGTTTTGCTGTCCCTCAAAGAGAAGGCCTGATTGGGGGGAGGGGCTGTTTTACAAAAACCAATACAACCCGACCCCCTGTGTTACGAATGTAAAGAAATAAGTTATTAATAAATTGCTATTTTGTTTATTCAAATATATTTATGTCTCTCTGTTTTCTATGCTCAAATGAAACATGAATTCAAGCTAATTACAAAATCCAAATGTATTTAGAAAAAGTACTCAATAATAGATATACTAGGCTAGCACACAGTTCATTAATCACTCACTAAAATATATAACTTAGTATTTAAATGTCAAAGCTAACCACAGACTAGATTAATCTTTGATCTAGAACAGTTGTACAATGAAAAACAAAAGATAAAGTGTTACTGAGTGTTAAGTGAGCCAAACAACTTTCCATGCGGACTAGCTGGTATTTCCAGGTATGGGTTGGCTAGAGTGAAATGTCCCCCCCTGCGGCACTTCCTGTCAGGAGATCAGGCTCCTGCTCTCAAAGCAAGCCCAGGCAAAACAAGCTGTAAAACCTGACACCCTCTTGGCTTCATCAAAAAAAGGGATAATCCCTGAGTGGGAGTAAGAAATAGGGTTAAAATGAGTAATTATTATTTTTGATGGCAAAATAGTTTATTGTTGTTGTAATAATAACAATAATCTATTCTACATTTCTGCCAACATGAAGATGTATACATATCTGAGTAGGAGTAGTATTAGAGAATGGATTTTCTCATAATAGACACTGCTGTAGTTTTAATTCGGTGATCTGCATTTGAATCCCATTAATTTATTTTGCAATCTTTAGATAATTTTAGAAATTCTTATATTATATCACAATAAAATACACACACACACACACACACACACATATACACGCTTCCTTTTACAGTGTTACATCTTTTACTTACAGTGTACTTACCTAGAAAGTACTGCTAATATAAGGTAAGTACATGGTTAGGTGTAGGTTCAGGGTTAGTACCTAGTTATTACCCAGTAATTGTAATTACTACAATAAGTACATATTATGTACATGGGTAACAGGACTGTAAAAGGAAGCGTTACCAAAAAGTTTAATTAAATATAATAGCCTTGTAAATAGTCAAAATGTTGTGTAATTATATCTTAGCCTAATATATATGTATTGCTGTCAAATCGATGCTGCTTTCAAATCGATTAATAGCGATTAATCACATCTTACATAAGTTTGTAAATAGTTAAAATGTTGTGTGTAATTATTCAAAATGCATCTCAATTAAATGTAATATCTTAGCCTAATATATATATATATATTGCTGTCAAATCGATGCTGCTTTCAAATCGATTAATCGCGATTAATCACATCTTACATAAGTTTGTAAATAGTTAAAATGTTGTGTGTAATTATTCAAAATGCATCTCAATTAAATGTAATATCTTAGCCTAATATATATATATATATATATATAGTGCTGCTCTCAAATCGATTAATCGCGATTAATTGCATCTAACATAAGTTTGTAAATAGTCAAAATGTTGCGTGTGTGTGTAATTATTCAAAATACATTTCAAGTAATATCTTAGCCTAATATATATATATATATATATATATATAGTGCGGCTGTCAAATCGATTAATCACGATTAATCGCATCTAACATAAGTTTGTAAATAGTCAACATGTTGTGTGTGTGTGTAATTAATCAAAATGCATTTCAAGTAATATCTTAGCCTAATATATATATATATATATATATATATATATACTGTATAGTGCGGCTGTCAAATCGATTAATCGCGATTAATCGCATCTAACATAAGTTTGTAAATATATGTATATACTAATAATATGTTAATATTATTAAATTAAATGTTATTGCTTTTAGAGACCAAGGCACAATGGTTTTAAGGCAACATGTGTTCATTGTGCCAGTATTACTGTTACACATCTGTAACTCTTTAAATCATTGAACACAAACCCAACAGATTGTGACTATACTTGGCCAATGTGCTAATCCTGTGTGAAGCGTTTCAGTCCCTTGTCGTCCTCTTGTTACAAACTGCACTGTGAAGGATTTGCCAACATGCCCAGCAATTTCCGGTGCTCAAGTTCCAGCGACCCAAACCCCACCCGCCCCATAGTCCCATCAGGCAACGTCCACCCACCACCTTTCTGCTCACCAGCTGCACTCCTCCATTTGTGTTGTTATGTGATTTGCAGGAGTACAGGCCACCCCTGGCTAGATGACCTCGCCTGCTGTCAATCACTTTTAACGGGCAGGTGCATAACCAGCCAGTCATTGGGGCCAAAACAGATGGTGTGATGATCCATCTCCATCGATGGGTTCATTAGTGCATGATTTTCTTTTGAAATTTTACATTTAACAATTTTTTTTTACAGCCTAATGCCATTGGAGAACCATTTATCTTCCAGTTCTTCCAGAATCAGTTAGTCAGAATCCAAAAGCCGATCTGGAAACATTTTCAGCCAAAAAAAACAAAACAAAAACAAAAATCATCTCAAAAACCTGAACCTACAACTAAAAAGTGTATATTAAGCCACGCACTCACATATCAATTAAAAGCACATCTGTGCTTTTTCTGTCAACATGGTGGAGGTGTATAGACTTAAAAGAAATATGGAAGCAAGTCTATTATCTCATCTTTCTTTTCTTCCATTACAGCTTATCAAGACTAAACATCCTGGAGGTTATACACAGGGCAAAACAGAGTTTGATTGCTGTGAGTAAACACCATAGTGGGCACAGTGGATACGCTGTCATCACACTAACTGCTATGGGCTCTTCTCCAAACCACCCACATGGAGAGTAAGAACTTCCGCCAACGTGGGGAGAGAACTCACCCCTGGCAAAGTGATCTCTTTACCTCCTGCTCTCCATCTCGCACTCACTTTGAATACAAAGAGGCTTCAGAATAAGCCAGAACTCCTCAGAAGACTTCAGTAATGTTGATATTTTTCATGCAATGCACACCATAGATGGGATGAGAATCTAGATAAGTTGCTTTTACAGCATATATATATATATATATATATATATATATATATATATAAAGTGCTGTCGAACCGATTAATCGCGATTAATTTGCATTGAGATTATTCACATCTAAAATAAAAGTTTTTGTTCACATAATATACAGTATTTCTAAATATAATAATATACATACACACATAAATCATGTAAACAAAAATATTTATGTTAGATGCGATTTTTATATCGATTTGCCATACACACACACACACACACACACACAAAGATATTATACATTTTTAGATATTATATATAATTTCATGTAGTACATCATATCATGTATGTAGAGAGAGGGGCAGTCCGACAGAGACAAAGAGGTTTCAGGACATTCAGTGTGTGTAGGTGGGACATTTCATTAAAAATTACAAACTTAATTATCCTCAGACCCAGTGGTCGAGATCTCCACCTACACAAGCTCTGGAATGCTGTATTGGAATGTCTTCCAAGAACGGACACACAGAAGTGCTTTGTTTGGACTTAATGCTTTTGTTTTTTTGTGTGTGTGTTTTCACTCGCTTCTGGACTTTAGCAGCGGAAAACAAGAGCCTTGTCGCTCTGTGCTTCATCGCAGCCCACGCTTGTCTCTCCATGACAAAAACTCCACGAGATTCCTTCCGTTCCTGCTCGCAGAACCGAGTTGTGCTGTTGATTTAGACCATGACGGACTTATGCTGCCATATTCTCAAATCCACCAGAACCAAAAGTGTGTATCCGTGTTATTTGCAATCTGGTGTCCAACACATTTGAATTCATAGCATTGGACAAGGCTATTGTTGTTCATGTGTTCAACATAACAAGGCTATTGTTGTTCATGTGTTTAACACTAAAACAGAAAATTGTGGTGACTTATATTAAGGGACATTTCCCCTTTTAGCCATTGTCTTTTAATTTTACCTCAGGAACATGATTTGCTAATTCTTATTGCTAGCCAGAAGTAGGTTGTATTAGGTGTGCGGGACAAACTCATTCTAGATTGGGAAAGATCTATGTAGTGCAAGTGCAAGATGAGTCATGAAGGATTTTAGTTTGTTTTTCCAGAAGAGAAAGACAAACATATTTGATAAAACATATTAATGTGCTAATATTAGGCTTGTGCTAATATTTAGCCTCAAAGCTAACACAGCACACAGACTGGATTTTTTCCTTTGTATTATCGTTCACCTGGTGAAAACCTATTCAAAAGGTTTTCGGGTCAAGTCTGTTCAATCTTAGAAACACAAACAATAGGTAAAATTGAACTTTAATCATGAACAACAGATGTATTAGCAAAACAACGCTAATAACATCCTTACATGCTGTACAGCACAAGCACAACAACAGGTTCAAATGAAATGAAGACATTTAACCATGTGTTTCTTGGTTTTCAAACCTTGAATTTCTATGAATAGATTTGCTCTGAGCACACAGATCTTTTCGTGTTGCTTTCATCCATTTCAAGGCCCTTCGTGGCTTCATTTCTATGAAGGCCGTGTTACAGCAGAGATGTGGCAGCAGCAGTTCACAAAAGGAGCACTCCGACCGATATGAATCACCCGCCGCTGTCTCTGTGTGAGCCCACGCAGCTTGATGGAAAAGGAGTAAAAAATAGTCATTATCATTTAGAAGTGCTTTTAAAAATAACATGTGTGAGGGGGAGAGCGCGACAGAGACAAAAAGGGAGAGAAAAAGTAAAAACTTTGTGCCTCAACAGCCCACACTACCTTCAGCAAACCAGGCTAGACCGTTGTTATACAGACACACCAGAGACCTGTTACATGTTTAATGAGTCAAGATCATTCGATGTCAAGTCAAGTCATCAGCTTTCTTTATTGCGCTTTTTACAGAACTGATTGTTTCAAAGCAGCTTTACAACAGATCTGGAAGAAAATAGCGTCATAGTGTCATCCAAGATGTCCATGTCTTTCTTCTTTCAGTCGAAAAGAAATTAAGGTTTATGATGAAAATATTCCAGGATTTTCTCCATATAATGGACTTCAATGGGAACCAAATGGTTCAAAGTCCAAATGAGCGTTTCAGTGCAGCTTCAAGCGCCTTTAAACGACACCAGACGATGAATAATGGTCTTATCTAGCTAAACGATCGGTCATTTAAAAAATAAATAAAAAAGTTTAAGTTTTA